GAAAAAGTTTGAATAAAATATTTTATTTTTTATGTAAAAAAATTGGTGAAAATAGAGCTGCTTTATTTTCTTAAAGGAAAATCAAGTGTGTTAAGAGTTTTAAAAATTTTTTTGATTAGGCAAGATCTCTTTTGAGAAACGCATAACTCGATGCCGAATTCCCAAATTCTCTATTGAGCTATACTAGATTAATTTCATTCACCGCCTTCCTTATTCCCAGCGCTTAAAGGTATGTCTAAATTAAACTGTTAAAATGTTCAACAATCTAAAAGTTTTTTTTTGTTACTAGAATCTAACGATATTTCTAAAATATCAGTTAATATTTATAACACGTCACATACCAATCGACATTTATGGTATGAGAGTTCTCTTTCACCTAAAGTCTTGCTGACTGAGTTTTAAAGATATTGTGGCGCGGTGTCTGTGAAAAAGGGAAGAATGTGTTCGGCTATTTCTGCCAAACATCGTGGCCTAAATCTTCTGACTATCGAACTTAACCAAGCTAACTAACATTTCAGGTAATTTTCTTTCGTACCTTTGCCGAGATGTGCACGGTAGTGGCGATGCGAGACTAGATATTTACAATGTAAAATATCTCTGAAAAGGTGTGAAAGATAAAAGCTACAAATTACTACCAGGAAACCGCCTTCGGCTTAACTGAAAACAGTTGGGTATACTCAAGTATGTCTCAGTTATGTATACCTAATACCGTTTTATACGAGTAAGCTGTAGCCGATGATTTGCGATCCCATATCAGACAAGCCCATCCTATTACGTTTTAAGTAAAGTCTTCACAGAAGAAAACAATACTAGCTGCGGAACTAAACTTCCGCGAAACAGTTTTCCTAAAAACCCTATAGATATCAAAATAAAAAAATTTCCGTCGAATAGCAGCCGAACTTATTGGCTTTGCGGATTTCCTTGATAAATACTGAAAGATGAAATAATTGACTGTAGTTGTGAAAATGGTTCCGTCAGCCGTTTGTGTCATCGGTTTGCACTTCTTTCACCGTTCATTATATTATATTTTGTAATAAAAGTGTTCCGACCCAAGACTTCGTTTTTCATTTCCTTAAGGTTGAACTGTTTCCACGCTAAGTTAAATTCAACGGATTCTTTCTATAAAGAAGAACAATTTCTTCTTAAAAGACATTCCAAAAAAAAAAAATATACGAAATATCTTATATTTTATTTCAATAATAAAATGCTATTGATTATACTGATCCACAAAATCTAAGCTTTTTTTTTTTGTAAATATGAAAACGAAAACTTATAAGAAATTCTGGATGAATTTGGGTCACCAAATAATAATAAATATTGTGGCATCAAAACTGCTATTTTCAGAAGAAAAAAAATTTACACTTACAAAAGTTATCTGCTAGCATTTCTGTACTCCATTTCTCTTCATAACGCATTTGTATATATAATTAACGCTTTGTAACCCGCTAAAGCGATTTTCCGTCGAGCTCCTCCTCCAATTCGTAATGATAGTCCATATGTTATGCAATAAATGTAGGGACCTACAGTTTGTATTGTACTAAATCGCCTCCGAAAGGCTGAGCGGTTTTTAAAAGTAGCTTTATTTCATGCGAGAAATACACCCAGAGGGATTGACATTCCCTGCCGAGGGTCGTCCGTGGTTAGAAAAATTAACTTCATTTTTTATTTAAATTGATTTTCTATAATTTTTCCCCCAAGCAAATACGCTGATGAAACCTCTAACCTTGTTCGTCTTTCACTGCAACCAAATTTGCCGGAGAGAAATCCAAATGGGAGTCCAGCATAACCTCTAATTCTTAATAATTTTCTGTTTTATGGTTTCCAAGAGCATGGATGACATTCGCAAACATTATCAGGCGAGATTTTTATGAATATTCAGATTTCCTTCAAAGGTCTTATCCTTTATCAGTTGCCGTATTTGTAGACCATAACTAATTTAGCTGCTTTGGAAAAGCACGGTTTCACTTCAGAGCCATAGTATCGAAACAAATTTCTGTATCTAGAGAAAGCAAATTCCAGTTTTTAAACTTATACCCCAAGAGTTAAGCCTAAGTTTAGACAGACACATATGAAGTGCTATCGTTTAAATGATTTTGGGTCAAGGAGTAGAGTGTTTTTGAATTGTATTTCGAATTACCGTGTAGTGCTTATCGATTTTAAGGTTTGGGCATAGCCAGGTCGGCACCGATCTCTATGTAGAATGAGTCTTTTGACCGAAAACATGTTTGGAAAATGTGTTTAAACTTGGTTGTAAATATCAAAAATAATTGGAAATTTCGACGTTTAGAAGTTATTTCTTTACACTCGTACAAAAGTATAAAACATATAAAACGTTAGAAATAAAATCATTATATATTTTTAATTATACAGATCTTTAAAAATTTCGAAAATGGACAAAAACAGTGTTTAGCAGAATTATTTAAAAAATTTTATACGAGGGGATTAATACAAGTTCGGCCTGTTAGTGACTTTGAATTAGTTTTCGTGAAATCTAAAAGTACCAAACCCTTTGCAATTAATGTATTAGTCTTCCTTTCAAATTTTAGAACGATCTGCTAAAATGAAGACGAGAAAACGCAAGTTAGCTGAGGTTACGGCAGACGAAATTCCACCACCAACGCAAACAGAAATTCTCCATGTGATTATCTGCGGGTCTCCGCGCAATTTACAGCCAATAAAAATATTCAGTAAATGCCAAAATGCAATTGGAACGATCGCTCCACCGGTAAAGACTATTTCTAAGTGGTTCCGTAGATTCCAGACCGAACATTTTTCCGTAGCAAAAGAGCTACGACAAAAACCTTACGCTGATGACGTCACCGTAGCTCTGGTGAAGTCCAAAATTAACGAAGACCCACAATTGACACATGAGATTATTGCCAATGAGTTGGGCTTGAATGCCAAGGCTGCATAGCGAATATTTTGTAATGCTCCCGGATGCACGAAGAAATCTGCTCGTTTAGTGCATTTTGCTCAATTTTTGCTAAGCAAAAAATTAATTCCAAAATGTTGAGTCTTGTATTGTAACTTTAGTAAAGTCGTTACTTGTGAGGAATCTTGGTTTTATAAGTACGATCCAGAAACTAAGCAGCAATCCATGTTAGTTTATTTCCCCCGATCCAAAATCGGAGCTGTCACTCCACTGAAAAATGGTCAAACGGTTTCCAAAATTTGTTAGAAAGCAAGGCCCCACACCCCACTGCTGAAATAACGAGTAATTTTATTGTGATCTCTTGGATTTTGGATATAACACTGCGATTTCTGGTTATTTCCAAAAATTAAAAAAATTTAAAATGAAAGGTCTTTAACAGCAACGAGCTTAACTTGCTTTAGAACTGAACTTATAGGCATTAGATATGCATTCAAATCAATGGCGACTATGTAGAGAAGATACAAAAAGACAAAGATTACGAATAAATACAACAATACATAGATTTTTTTTTGTTTAGAGCAAGATCATTTATTTTCTTATTTATGAACATATTTTTTAACTTCCGACACTTAAATCTTATGAAGTTTGCTTTTCTCCGATAAGTAAATAGATTTTCTCCATTTCTCATGTCTTTATAGGCAGCAAAATTTTCATCATTTAGTTTCAATACCATAAAGAAATGATAAAAGTATCGGTAGGATTATGAATTTTTTAATTTCTCCTTTTTTACTGGCTTCAGAATTCATTAATGGAATGTTTTTGATGTTCATGAATGCCATAGGAGATCCGTTAGAACTTTAAGTGATGTCGTCGGCATACACCACCCATACTTAGCAACTAAAAATTCTAGTGTTTTTCTGGCACATATGTACATATGTATATGGAATATTTCAAGTTTTACTTCATTGGATGGATTTTTGATTGTTTGAATGCCATTCCGAGCATTTCAAGGGTTACTGGAACCAATTGAACATTATTTGCCAAATAATTTTCATATAAAAGTTTGAGTTTAGTAAAATTTGGTCTTTGAAGAAGATAAGTTCAAATTGAAGTATTTTTTTTTTATACGATGTAGTTGCAGATAAATTTAATATCATTCACTTTAAAAAAGTTACACCCTCGAAAAGGTCAGTTCATCTGCGATTAATAAAAAGGTTGTTATGATCCAAATAAAATTTATAATTTTTCCAAGAAAGCGTATTTTTTAAAGAAACTTTAACGCATCTTTTAAACAAATACAGTATAGAAATATGGGTTGATGCATTCTTAATCGTATTACTAGTATCGTATAACTGGCAAAAATGGTCTAACGTCTTTTTCAAAGACAATTTTATTTAAACATGAAACTTAATTTTGTTTATTTATTTTTTTTATTTCCTTTACTTTAATTTTTTAATTTATAATTAAAATTAAATAATTTTCAAAGGCATAAAATTCAACTCGAAATTACTCTGCCAAGAGTTATAGAAAGTTATTTTAAATAAAAAATTAAGCTAAGTTTTCTAATTGCGGTCGCCCCTCGGCAGGGAATGTCAACCCATCCGAGTGTATTTCGGACATGAAATAAAGGCTCCTCGTAAATAAACCATCAGCCGTTCGGAGGCGGCTTAGTATAAACTGTAGGTCTCTCCATTTGTTGGGAAAACATCAAGACACAGAACCCCAAATTGGAGAAGGAGCTCGGCCAGAAAATCGCTGCAGCGGTTACAAAGCGCCAATTATTATATATAAAGCTTAACTAATCGGTTTCTTATGTGTGAATTGGAATATATGGGCAATTTTAGCTTTAAATCGCGTATTTTGCGCACTTCTTCCTTATTCTGCGTTGTAGCTCCAGTGCGATATAGAGCGCCTATATTACTGTATATGCCTCAAATAATATTTGCTCTAGTTACTCTATTTTATTGAGCATTGCGGAATAGTTTAAAAAAAAATATTTTTTTTCATATTTGCAAGTTCTCAAAAAAAAAAAAAAATAATAATATTAGTTTAAATATATAAAAAGAAATTAATTTAAATTTCAAAATAATTTAAATGAAAAAAAAAAATATACAAAATAATTGCTTACCAAACTTTTTCTGCTATCTGTGCAGTCTTCCTTGCACTTCTAATATATGTAAGTATATATCTTTGTCGCTCAAAACTGCTCTGCTGTGCTGTTGCGACGGCTTTTAGTATTCCAAATTTAGTAGTAGCATTGACAAGGGACAGTTGAAAACGTTAAAATGACAAAAATATCAAAATTTTTACACCATAAATTATTCAGTTTCGGAAATAAGTACAATTTTTTTAATTTTTTATTTTGTGTTTGTTTTTTTTTTCAATTTTGATTTTAGTTTATGCTTTTTATATTTTAAGTGCAATAATTGCGAAATTACTTAACACAAAGGACATTTGGAGTATTTTTGTCTGGATTTATTTTTTAGCTGCACTTCATATGGGGCAAGTATGTAGTTATGTACATACATATGTATCTTTGTATTTTCGTAGTTAATCCAAGTGTAATTCGCTAGTGTTTTTTTTGTTTTGTTTTGTTTTATAAACTCACTTTTGGGCTCATTTAGATTTTCAACAATTTTTTCATAGTTTTCGGTGCGAGTTCGAATATCATGATTTGTTTTTGCTTTACACTTTTTAGTTTTTCTTCTATTTTAATAAGTCAACACTATTTTTAATTTGTTTTTTTATAGGTTAGCACTGATTTTTGTTTGAACAACAATGTTTTCGAAACTGTAATACGTTTTCTAGCGTTTCGAGTCGCTGCAATTTATCTTTCGGCTTATTTTTTCTAGCCTCAAATGATGTTTCATTATTGTTTACACTTGCTGCGCTGTAACTTTTGATTTTTTTTTTTTTTTTTTTTTTTTTTTTTTGCAAAATCTTTTTTGTTGCCCTTTTTCCGGCACGCTAGTAACTCTTTTCTTTGGGTTTTTGCTTAAAAAACAAAACTAACACACTGCGTACAAATTATTTTTGTTATTTTTGTTATTTATAGGTTTTTCCTTTTGCTCAAGCACATGAGCCTGTGTAAAAGCTCAAATCGTTAATCAATATATATTTAAATTATAACAAAATAACTACATTTAACGGCACGGCAAACAAACAGGCAAGAGACGTTGGCTAAACGCAGCGGTAAACACCGACGACGACACACCGAATACGACGATAACGCTTCACAAATACGGAGTGAACTGAATGAACGTAACTTTTGGACTGACTGTGGTGCCGCACACCGACTAGCAACACCTTTGTGTGCGAACGTTGTTGGTGTTAGTGTTGGTTGGTCGACGTTTGGATGGCTGGATGGCTGGATGGCTGGCTGAAAAACTCAGAACTTGTTCGTAAGTACTTACATACGTACGCATATACCAAAATAAGCGTATATAGCGAAGTGTACAGCAGACGACCGACGCGTTCAGCACACACTGATAAATACGAGCCGAGGGAACGACGGTAAGTAAATACACGTTTGCGAAGGTGAGGTGCAAGCCAAGCGACTGGTAATTTTGGTAGGTAAGTAGCAACGTATGTATGTAAATATGTTTAGCTGTGCATGGAACTCAGCAGGGTTGACTCTACACTGTTCGAAACAAAATATGTGCACGAGCAGGCGCAAACTATAGCGCTGATGTCGGCATGCCGTCAACTGAGCTGTGTGCGAAAGAGCACGATGCGTGCGTTGTATAAATGAGCCTGTGTTTGGTGTGTTTACCACGGCACTGCTGTCATGTCCTATTGTTATTTCCTATGTATCTGCAGTGTGAGCGAGCACACACAATGTGTGTTAGAGTATGACAGATGTTGGTATCTGCAATGTCTGTAGATGGCTGCTGATGCTCGTTTATGTTGTTGGTTTTCTTTTCTACCACTTCTGTTACTGACTCTACTACTGCTCCTACTACTTTTCCTATACTCAAGCACTTTGTTGCTATTTTTATTGTCGCTTGTAGATAATATTTATAAGCTCGTCGATATGCTTTGCAGATGTAAATACACATGAATGTATTTATTTGGTTTTGTTGCTGTTGTTTTTCGTACAAGCATAGTTGCTATTTATTGCTCGAGCCACCTAGCTATGCTCACACACTAGTGCCTACAAACATATGTATGTACATATATACATACTAAGTGTGTATGCTGCCTACACCACTCCACCCACCAGTACCAGTTGGCGAGTAGCAATAAATAGCGAGTCGCACACAGCAGTGTGTATGTATGTGGTATGTGTATGCGTACACAACAAGAGCGCAGCGCCTACTAAAACCACACCCCCGACGACGGTTCATTCGCCTCTTCGTCGTTACGAGCCGTGTATTCGCTCGAAACAAAGACAAGAAAAAATAAACAAAAAAAAGCGAGGCTCTAATGAAAACTTTGTAGGTACGCTGCTGTGCAGCAAATGGTGGTCTACACAGTACGTACAATTTATACATTCATACATATATACACATGCATATTTATATAGCTATTTATGTAGAGGCGATGGCGAGTGGGTTGATGACGGTGACCACCGCAATACAACAACAAATACATGCATCCCTACAATGCCAGTTTCTAACAGCAACGATATTCTTATATTATATTTATTGCAAATTTTTTTCCTTCGATTTTTGCTGTTTTTATCGCTCTGGCTGCTCCTTCAGCTCTGCTTACTCCCCGTGCTAGCCTGCGATCGATGTCGAGTGTGCTGTTGTGGGCAACAAGAAAGGCTCAAGTGGTGCGTATGTAGATATGTTTGTAAAGCTAGTATTGGAGCTCAACCAAAGTGTACAACTCTACATACTTGCATCCATATATACATATGTAAATATTTATATAAGTGTGAGCTTGAGCATTTGTGTAGCTGGCGTTGTGATAGCGAAGCAAATGACGGCTGCTGGATTTTTATGCTTTTCAGCACGCGCCATCTTGCGACACTGAAGCTGAAGCTACCTATATGCGTGCATATGTGCCTACATACATTTATACAAACAGGCATACAACCCTATATGTACCAAATTTACTTAAGTCACCTACCAGAACCTACAAGGAGGCATTCGCACGACTTTAGTGCGTGTATAAATAAATATAATATATACATATGCTTACGTACATACATATAAGCGGAAACATATGTATTTAGAGATGCTAGCCGAAACGTCGTGAGCTCAGGTACACGCTGAACCTAGTATACCTATCTAAGGAATTTTTGAATTACTCTTCTAAATACCTAAATAATTACCCTTGACCAGGCGGGTAAGCAAGGGATATCAATGCCTTTAAACTGTATGTTCTTCTACTTGTGGAAAATATCTCACAACATTCAACAAAAATCGATGGAAAAACATTGCCAAATAGTGGCTTAAGCAAATATTGTCTACAGTCATGTGAAAAAATAATGGATAGCCGCGGCAGTATTTCATATAAATGCAAGGAAAATAAAAATTGTCCAGTATTTTGATTTAATATTTTGTTCTTGGTATAATCGAATTTAGTAGAAAAGAACAAAATAAAATTAGCAGAGCTTACTTACATGCGGAGGGTCATAGGTTCGACTCCTGGCCAGTGCAATTATAAAAAATTATAAAAATTTAATTAACACATAAAAATTAATTTCATTTTTCTAGCCGAGATTACAGTATAGCTTTCGTTTCTCGTTTTTGAATGTAAGCTAGCGTAAACACCAAATTCAAACATATTTCCCTTAAAATATGAAGAAATATATCTTATTTTGCTGTTTTTGTATCAAAAAAATAATAAAATTTATATTACTGGTTATTGCGGCATCTCGCCAAGCCATGTCAAGATGTTCGAATCTAGTTCTGACATGAAATAAAATTTTCTCGTAAAAAAACATCAGCCGATCGGAGGCGATTTAGAATAAACTCTCGGTTTGTCAAATTCTTGGGGAAAATATTAAGACGCACGCAACTAATCGGAGGAGAAGCTTGCCAGTTATAAAATAATCATTCTGCTATTTGGTATATTAAAACTCAGTATAAAAAAAATTTTGAAGGTCCCTCTTTCATCTTATATTCTTCTAATCATTTTGTATAAAATTTTTCCTTCCCAGTGCTTTCACTTTTGCATCAAATTTTACTACATTTTCCATTATTATTTTTAGAAAAATTCTATATTTCCATTACAAATTGCTCAGTTAACAAACTTGAACGGTTTAGTATTTTTCTCTCTCCTTTTTCGTTACTTCGGCATCATAATAATATAGAATAAATATAATTGTATTTTGAGTGAAGCCAAAATTTATGTTAAAGCAAGTGTCGTTATTATTTTTCACATGACTGTGAATACATATAGCATTTATACAGTATGCTTATATATATTTGCATAAATGTGTAATAGTCCTTGTGCTTAGGCGCAGATATAAAAGAATATTTGTAACTCCAAAAATACATAAATACGAGTATATTTTATCCCTGTATATGGAATATATCTATGTATATATGATACTTACATTAGCGTCGGTATGTTTATTTGCGCTGATTTTCTCAATTTTTATTGTCCAAGAAAACTCTAAGCAAAACAAGGAAAGAAAAAGAAGTAAAAAATTGTAAAAATTCTTCATGAAAAATACGATCAAAAAGTAAAGTTTGCCATAGCCCATATAAATTTCAAAACATCATTTTAGTGAAGTTTTCTCAACGTATTTTATTAGTAATTTGAATTCGCTTAGAAAATTGGTTCAAAAAAAAAAAAAAATAAAAAAAAATAACAAGCCACCCTGTTCATAACACACGTACAAAATCAGATGTACATATCCATAATATATAAATATCGTCTATATACAGCGAGGAATACACGTAGCAACCTGAAGGCTGTGAGCGAATGCCCTTTTTGCTAGCCGATTTTATTTTTCACGAGTCGAAAAAGTTGCGAAAAATTGCAATAACAAATCAACCTCTTTACATACATAAATGCATATAAGTACATATTATATTTAGCTACCGTGAAAATGCTGCAATAGAGGAAGCTTTGATTAAACTGCATGTGAATTACGTTTCAAATGAAATCGAATAACTAATAAATTTGATTCTTTTTTCGCAGAAGATACTTTACGCAGTCAGCGATAAAAGTGTAGTCAACTAATAAATGGGATTGATTAAATCAGAGGATTACACTTGTAGTTGTAAGTTAATTATTTGTGTGTGTGCGTGTGTGTACAAATGTATATTTGTAGTTTTATTAACAGGAGAATATGAATCAGGCAAATGTATATGAAATGATTTTTGGTTAGCATTCAGTAATATACAAACAAAGGATATGTGTACATATACTTCTTATACATACATTTTCTGCAGATCTTGCACTTGCAATTTCACTTGGTTTCGTCGCGCCCTTCATTCTTCGCTCATTAGTCTCCGAGAATCGCGAAATAAACATACCCAATTAAAAACTGTAATTTAGGAAATACAAATTTATGTAAAACAACTTGCTTCTCATTAAAAAAGAATATTCTCTATGTCTATTCTTTTTCTGAAAAACTATGTAAATTCATATATACATACGTATGTATGTATATACATATTTGTGTATTCCAAAAATTAGCAAAATTATGGGTAAAATGGCATTTTTCATTACAAGGTCGTCCTCAAATAAGCCAAACCCTTTTACAATAGCGTTTTATTTCAACATTTTATTTACCTTATTATTTTCGTGTCTCCTAAATACTAAGAATCAACTCTCGGTTATACTATTTGAGAATAGCGGTGATATAGCATACGAGCACAACGCCGAGTCTCTCCACTACGGCATGTTTGCTCCAGACTCTCTGAACTATTTTTCTTTGTTATGTATGTAGCAGGCGTTCACGGTTATTTATGTCATTCAAGGAAAAGTGTTCTGCGATTCTGAAATTGAGCGATAATAATTAACTGGACTGACACACACTCTTCACCGGTAACAAACAATCTTCGCAAAAATGTAATTCAAAAATATGAATATTTATGGGCATCGGTAACCGCGCGTGCTACTGTGGCTTCGAATCCTGTCTAGACAAACATGAAAAATTATTGAAAAAAAAAACGAAAGGCGATTGTCTCTTGGCAGCTAATTTCACTTCGCCGATTGTATCATTATTTGTTTTATTTTTTTCAATTTTTTTTTTAAATTTTTGAATTTTATTTCATTTATTTTATTTTATTTTATTTTATTTTTTCATTAACTTAATGTTCTATGTTTTTTTTTTTTTGCTTATATACGCATATATGTATGAATGTATGTTATTTTTCATTTAATTTATTTTTTGTGATTTTATTCAATTTAAATTTTTTTATTTCGTTTTATTTTATATTGTATTAATTTTTTACTTTACTTTTGCATTTAATTTCTTTTTGTTTATTTTGTATAATAGTAATAATGTTTTATGAATTGGCTTGTTTCGTTTTATTATATTTAACTTAACTATTTTATTATTTTACATCATATAAAATAAATATAAAATAAAAAAAAAATTAAAAAGCAAATAATGTAAAAGAAAATCACTAATACATTTTATATTGTGTT